GAATCTGATCATTTTGCTCTCAAGATTCTATGATTGAAGACAAGAGAAGATCAATATTTAACGAAATCATTGATTCACACACAGCTGTACATCCACAAACACAATAACTGAAAACACAGTATAATACATGATCATATGAGTCTGTTAAACTGCATGATTCTGATTAGCTGATGGACATTACATTTGCATATCACTACGCTGAATGATTTGAGATATTTCACAGATACAACAGTTAAAAATCGCATCAAAACTCAACAGAAGAAGGCTTTGGGCGAGATGTTTAGGGAGTAGATTGAGGACAAATACCTGATAAATGTCTGAAATATATATTATATAAATATCTGAACAGTGGCTTTAGCTATGGAGGAACAGGAGAGCGCGTTAGACATAAAATGAAGAATCAAATCATTCATTTAATAATTGAAGCATTAAAATGTGTATAAATAAATCACAATTTAAACAGACAAATAGATGGGCATAATTAAATGAATTTATTTAAACTGTGATTTTAAATGTCGTTTAATAAAGCATGACATTTAATAAAACATATCTTTTAAATGTACAAATAAATAAATCATTTTATGTGATCATTTTAAAATGCTGATTCATCATACAATAAAATGTGTATTGATAAATCATTTCAAATGCATTTAAATGCCCAATTTAAACAGCTTTTTAAAATGTCATTTGACAAATGCTTTTCTCTCTCTGTTTGCCACTTGCTTTTCTTCTTCTTTTGTTAAATGCTTTCCCCGAGTTGAAAATAAATAATAGAGTTAAAAATGTAATTGGACAGTCCACATGTGGGAGCAAACAATCAGCTTTTGTCTCAAGTCGAGATAAACCCTCATTAGCTTGTAAATGAAACGTGCGCTGTCATTGGACAGAGATTTCTGTGAAAGAAATTCTCATCTGGATTAACACTGTCTGTATAGGAAAGATTTACAGTTGAGAGAAGACATTACTGTGCTTAGGTGAGCTAAAAAAATAAATGGAGTTTACAGCCAAATCCACTAGTCAAGCTGCACCAGCCTTTCTCTTCATCTGCTCACCGATGACTTCAGAATAGTGCTCTATCTGTTGAGCAACAGTATGTTCTCTAAAAGAAAAATCTGATTCATTCACATTTAACTCAAACGATTCATCTCAGTTTGCTTTTTTGTACTTAAACAATAAAACAAATGAAAAGTTTTGTTAAATTTAAAATAATAATGTGTTTTAAAGGCATCACCCCTGCCCTCCCCAACAAACCCTCTCTTAGATGGGATGACACGTCATATTAAAGGTTACCATACACCAACTTTGGCCAGTGGGTGCTAGTTTGGGCATCTCTGCTCTCAACTGTTCTTATTAGCTAAATAAGCACAGGATTTTAGTTTGGTATGTTGCATGTTGTTTGTCAATAGATGCAGTTGTCATATCCTGATATTTGTAATGTATATTTGTTAAAACAGGCCGATGTCAGACTAGACTCCAGCTATTCTGAGTAAAACTGGTTAAAATATAAATATGTTTAATATATGTGTCTCATATGTGTCTGTAAATGACTGAGAGACCTCAGAATGACCAATAGATATTATTTTAATATAAGAAAAACTAAAGCAGCACAGACTATTAGGATTATTCATTTTGTAGACACTTTTAGTTGGGTCAGGGGCCAACCAAAGCACATTATAAGATCCAGTTCTCAAGTGTTGTGAATGAATATTCTGTGTTTCATTGAGTTATCTCAGTGACGTTAATGAATCTAAATGAGTTTTTTCCCACCTGGAAGATGGACTGGAGATTGTCTGTGAAACTCTTGTGTCTCCTGTGAGTCTCGTCTCCTGAAGCTGCTGACTCATATTCAACACTGTTAACAGATAAAACTACTGTAATTATATATTTGGAGGCAAACAGATACAGATATATCTAGGAAATACTGTAAATACTACATGTGCTGTAGTGCTCATAATGAGGAGACAGCAGGGGTGGACTGGGACAATATTTCAGGCCGGGGAATTCTCTGACTGCTAATATTGTACTCTATTGTAAATGTATTATTTATCGTACCATGTACACTACCAGACAAATTATTAATATATAAATTAATGAATCCTCAAAAACTCAAAAGGCTCAAAACTTCTGCACACACTATTTCTATTTCTAATCCATATATTAGATTTTTGGTTTGCTTGTTTGTTACATAAAAACCTTGACTTACTAAGACATGATGCAGCAACTCTATTTACTTTTATTTTACAAATTATTTTTTTATTTCATTTATAGACTATGGCTATATAAAAGCACATGCTGTAGCCTACTGCATTAGACTAAACGAGACATATTGTTGCTCATTCCCTAATTGTATTTTTTTTTTATTTGTATCTACTGTAAGTCAATTTAGATTAATTTAGCTTGCCAAATGATTATATACAGTTAAAGTTAGAATTGTTAGAATTATTATCACATTTAACACTTTAAACAACGCACACTGATCACTTTAAACACCACACACTGATCACTGTAAACACCACACACTGATCACTTTAAACACCACACACTGATCACTGTAAACACCACACACTGATCACTTTATAACACCACACACTGATCACTTTAAACACCACACACTGATCACTGTAAACACCACACACTGATCACTTTAAACACCACACACTGATCACTTTAAACACCACACACTGATCACTCTAAACACCACACACTGATCACTCTAAACACCACACACTGATCACTTTAAACAGCACACACTGATCACTTTAAACACCACACACTGATCACTTTAAACACCACACACTGATCACTGTAAACACCACACACTGATCACTCTAAACACCACACACTGATCACTGTAAACACCACACAAACTGATCACTTTAAACACACCACAAACTGATCACTGTAAACACCACACACTGATCACTGTAAACACCACACACTGATCACTTTAAACACCACACACTGATCACTGTAAACACCACACACTGATCACTGTAAACACCACACACTGATCACTTTAAACACCACACACTGATCACTGTAAACACCACACACTGATCACTGTAAACACCACACACTGATCACTTTAAACACCACACACTGATCACTTTAAACACACCACACACTGATCACTTTAAACACCACACACTGATCACTTTAAACACCACACACTGATCACTGTAAACACCACACACTGATCACTGTAAACACCACACACTGATCACTTTAAACTCCGCACACTGATCACTTTAAACACCACACACTGATCACTTTAAACACACCGCACACTGATCACTTTAAACACCACACACTGATCACTTTAAACACCACACACTGATCACTTTAAACACCACACACTGATCACTGTAAACACCACACACTGATCACTTTAAACACCACACACTGATCACTGTAAACACCACACACTGATCACTGTAAACACCACACACTGATCACTTTAAACACCACACACTGATCACTGTAAACACCACACACTGATCACTGTAAACACCGCACACTGATCACTGTAAACACCACACACTGATCACTTTAAACTCCGCACACTGATCACTTTAAACACCACACACTGATCACTTTAAACACACCGCACACTGATCACTTTAAACACCACACACTGATCACTTTAAACACACCGCACACCGATCACTTTAAACACCTCACACTGATCACTTTAAACACCACACACTGATCACTTTAAACACCACACAAACTGATCACTTTAAACACACCACACACTGATCACTGTAAACACCACACACTGATCACTTTAAACACCACACACTGATCACTTTAAACACCACACACTGATCACTGTAAACACCACACACTGATCACTTTAAACACCACACACTGATCACTGTAAACACCACACACTGATCACTGTAAACACCACACACTGATCACTTTAAACACCACACACTGATCACTGTAAACACCACACACTGATCACTGTAAACACCACACACTGATCACTTTAAACTCCGCACACTGATCACTTTAAACAGCACACACTGATCACTTTAAACAGCACACACTGATCACTTTAAACACACCGCACACTGATCACTTTAAACACCACACACTGATCACTTTAAACACACCGCACACCGATCACTTTAAACACCTCACACTGATCACTTTAAACACCACACACTGATCACTTTAAACACCACACACTGATCACTTTAAACACCACACACTGATCACTTTAAACAGCACACACTGGTGCTGTGGATGGATGATAACTGCCCACTAAGCCTACAAGTAGGTGCAGAAGGTCCCTATTTAACCATATCTATCAGCTGATAACCACTGATAATGCCCATTCAATAGAGTGATCATTTGAGTGAACATTTGATTGGGTGTTGCATTGTGCCATCTACAGTTCTGAAGGTTGTTGTGATCTTATACCTGTTAAATGTTTTGCCATCAATAAGAAAATCATAATTCTCTGCATCTCTGCTGTCTGAATCTTCTGCATGTGTTTGCTCTGCTTCTGTCTTCTGTCAGCTCACTTTCTGACTGAATATAGTTTTTAATTCTTACATTAATCTCCAGATCATACAAGCGTATGCTCTCAGAGTTCAGTAACAGCACTGTAATATTGCTGAACTTTATTAAGATAACAATAGACAAAGAAGATCTGAATACATTTTTATCTTAAATCAGTATCTCTTTTTGACCATAATTATATATCAGGTGAAATGTGGTGTGTTTGTCTCACACAACTTGTTCATTACCAGTGTCTAAAATCTCTTTCTTTTCCCACACTTTGCTGACTATTGTATAAGCCGGTAAACTCACTCTACTAACTCTAACAGTTTGAGTATTAATACTTTAGTCACTTAATACTACTTCAGTACTTCACTAAAATGTCTTGACTGGACTGTGGGAATAAAGTGTAATAATGTCTGATCTTCTAGAAACACAGGATCATATAAATGCTGCAGTGTGATCATGTGTGTGTAGAGATGATCTACCTGACAGCAGGTTGTGTGTTTTCACTCTTAAAATGCATTGGGTGATCCATAGACGCGTCACTCTTCATAGACACACAGCTGGGCTCTGCTTCTGCTCTCTTCTGATGAACTGAACTAAAACAGAGAAGATTAAGGTTCAGCACTGCACACACTGCACAAACCTGATATTAATCATTCTTCATTTATAAAAACACTTAAATTAATTTCCTTTATATTTGAACAGAAACTGTCTGAATGTGAAAATATCAGCAAACACAGATCAAGGCTCATTTCTAGTAGAGAAAGCCCAACAGAAATGCAGCACTATTAGAGCAGATTAGAGCTGAAACTAATCATCAAATCACTGCATGAAGTCCACAGTGTAGGTGTGGGAGGAGCTTAATCATGCAGGCGTGTCAATCATCATCACATGACTATATAAGCAGCAGTATAAACTGCACTGTGTCAGCTGACTGTTATTCCCGCCTCCAGCAGCTCCCCTTATCCTCCTCCTCATAACTCAGTCTTCAGAAGGTCACTCATCGGGGGTTTGTCTGCAGAGCTCCAGTCCAGACTTTGAGGACAGCAAGACAAGTTCATTTACCATCATCTATCATGACTGAATGAGCAGGAGAACTCGAGAAATATCAATTCTAGAAACCAAATGTGTTGATCAGCAGCATCTATGAGGCCAACACAACATGATGATGACTGCGCTTCAGTGAAAACAGACTCAGATCAGAGGAATGGCTGATCAGTACAGCACAGAAACAGCAGGGGAAAGTGTGCAGGAAAAGCCCTTTATGGCAGGAGATCGGGAACACTTTAGTTTAGCTCACAATTCATACTATTAACTACCGGCTTATTATCTGTGGAATGTGAACATATGAACTGCTCATTAGTAGTCATACAGTATGATCTTATTGTGGATCCCTAACCCTACCCAAAACCTAAACCCACCTTCTACCTCACTCACTATTAATAAAGCGCTGATTGGTTTGTTAACACCATCAATTGTGGCCTGAAGTGTAAAGCGGAGATCTTCAAGCACTATCCTGCAGAGCTCAGATACAACATCTAACATCTGAAACCCAACAGATCCACAACACTAATGACCTGATTCATTTATTATGAAAATACTCATCAGTTGCAGATATTAAAGAGATGATCTACCTGACAGCAGCTCCTGTGTTTCCACTCTTAAAATGTATTGGTGGGTGCATAGACGCGTCACTCTTCATAGACACACAGCTGGGCTCTGCTTCTGCTCTCTTCTGATGAACTGAGCTAAAACAGAGAAGATTAAAGTTCAGCGCTGCACACACTGGAGTCAACACAGCAGATTTACTCAACATTTCATCATTAAATCACTGATTAAACAGCACTTCATGATACTTTTCATGATGATTGTACACAATCTTGCTGACTGTGTGTGTTAAATATTCAGACAGATTAAAAACACAACTAACAGAGAGTAAATATAATATCCTGTAGAAAATAATCATATGAAATGTCAAGTGTAGGTCTAATACCTGCATCCTGTAGACAAATCCTGATCTCCAGCAGTGTGTGTGTTACCCATGATGGACCTGAAGAGTTTGATCTCCAGCAGAAACTGATGAACAATCACAGATCTCCAGTCATTGATCAGCCTTCATAATTCAGCTGAATGCAGGAATAGATCAGCAGCTGAGACACTCAAATCCAGAAGCTCATCACGAGTAAACTAATGAAGAATCACAGCGTCATCCGCTTGATTATAATAACAGCATACACACATTCACATAAAGCTTACAGGTTTTGTCCAGACATTAAAGATTTAAAGCTGTTCCGTGTTGGTAAATGATGAATTCTGGTTGTTTAAAACTGCAACACAACAACTAAACACTTTCACTTTCGTTTCTGAAGGGCGGTGTTGTGCCGAAAATTGTGATCTCTGACCAGGGGGCGCTGTTGCACGAAATATTCGAGGTGGGGAAGACTGCAGACTTGGATCCAGACAGATCTACGGCCCAAGCAGTTTTATGGCCTGGGCAGTTTTACACCCCTGTTGCTCTTGATGCGTCCAGTAGAGGGAGGCAGTACAGTTTTATTGTAAGTCTCCAGAACTTTATCACACCCAACCAAGCGCAAACACGATGAAAAGGTGTGTTAAATACGTGTTTAAAACATTAGCAAACATGAAACTTAAACATTTTTTTTATTAGATTAAGGTCGATATGAGTGTATGTCAACACAAACAAATTGGTGTAATATAACAGCAGTGTGTTAGTGTGACAATTGTTAGTTAACTACAAAAAAAGTAAATGAACATTAACCTACGTGAGAAAGTGTGTTATGTAGGTTAATTTTCTTTTATTTTTTTGTCTCAGCAAGGGAGTAAGTATTATATATCTAATAATTAATTTAAAGATATATATTTTCTCATAGTGTAAACAATACACTTGCGTGGTCTGGGTTGTCAGAAAAAATCTACACTACAACTACACTACATTATACCTCCAAATTTGATTTTCTTAAATATTGAAATTAATCTAAACAGATATATAAATAAATAAATAAATATATATATATATATATATATATATATATATATATATATATATATATATATATATATATATATATATATATATATTTTTTTTTTTTTTTTTTTTTTTTATTGCATTGTATTCAATTACATTTAATATAATGCAATTCTTTCCCTGAGATGGGTTGTGGCAGGAAGGGCATCCACTGCGTAAAAACATGCTGGATAAGTTGGCGGTTCATTCCACTGTGGCGCCCCTAGATTAATAAAGGGACTAAGCCGAAAAGAAAATGAATGAATGAATGAATAAATGAATGAATAATGCCATCATTTTCTAGTTTAAACAATTACAATATATATAATTAAAATGAACTTAACAATTAAATCATATATATAAATGCATAGAGAAACTCACAATTACTAATGGTCTAGTAATTTTTGTACATACAGTACATTTTATATATTAGCAATGAAGTTTGCATTGCACATGCATTCATATTGTTCATCATTTATACTTTCATAATATTGATTGTAACAATTTGTTACAAAGAAAATAATTAAATATGTTAAATACGGGAAAGTCAGAATCACAATTTGTAGCTGTAAGTAACAAAAAATAAATAATAATGACTTGGTCCTTTTGTTATACCTAAGTTATAATTCTTAAATCATAAATCAAATATTAAAAAAAATAAAAAATAAAATAAAATAATATATATATATATATATATATATATATATATATATATATATATATATATATATATATATATATATATATATATATATATATATATATTGCTATGTTCTGCATAGGTCCAGATAATATATAAAATGGCATGAAATGTTTTTTGCTTTTCATTTTCCATTCTTTACTGTTTCTGAGGATTAAGAATGTTTAGATACTCGGTCTGGAAACAAGTCAGAAACTCTTAAGTGTGGAAAGGATTTTTGCAGAGTATTTATACATGACTTTGTTTATTTTTCAGTGAGCAAGAATTTGACGCAAGGATTCAGCTTCATTTAAAGAAAACTGGCAATCTCTAGTGATATAGTTGTCAATAAAAAAAAAAAAAAAAAAAAAATGTTGTCTGAGGTTTTGTTTGTCAGGTAGGTAAATGGTCCTTGGAATTGTAGAAAGTAGGGAATTGTTTGTCTAAACGTTGTCTGGTAGTCAATACCACTGCATTCTTATCAAAGCACATCATTACTCCATATCACACTGTATTGTTTGGTTATAATTTTGTTATTTTCAAAATGCAACTTTATATATAAACAATACAACAAAATCCATATCTCTATATGAAGACGTATAACTAGGCTACAATTAACCGTTACACTATTCAACTATTAGTGTTTGTAATTTTTCTAATTAAATTAATCTAAATTAATTTGCTATTGGGCTTTTGCATATGTGAAATTATTTGGTGAGTGTATCAATTCTGCATATTATCTAGTACAGTGGTTCTCAAACTGTGAAATATGTCATGTACATGCTACACACATTTCAAAATTTATTAAAAATGATGTATATAATATGTCATATATGACATATAGCCTATATTTCTGTGGTAATCTGCCACGTTTTTTTAACTTTGCAGAGTTGCTTTACTGGGCTATTGTAATTCAATACTGCTCATTTTGGTGGTACTTGGAGAGACTATTTTTTATGAGGTGGTACTTGATGAAAAAAAGATTGAGAACCACTGATCTAGTGAGTTTATAACTCGCTTTCTGAAACATTAACTTGGCGTTCATATTTAGCCTAATTAAATAAAAAATATATATATTTATGAACAGGACATTTAATAATCTGGGAGCGTTGACTTCAAATGTTTTATTTGGCCATGTATCTTTCTTTCATCCCCTCGACTGGACGCATTAGGAACAACAGGGGCGAAAGCTGATTTAAGTCTGCAGACGCCCAATAGGGAATAATTACTCGGGAACGCCCTTGGCCGCTCATGCACGCGACCATGACCGCGCAGACACTGGAATCAAGCGATCCGCGTCGAGCGGTGCTGTAAAGCGTGTTTTATATGCGGGATTCAGCAGACATGATCATATTGAAGATCATAGGAAATATATTGGAGAACTTTGATTCACTGAACAGCGACTCCTGATCACAGATTTCATCTCAACTGCGTCACATCAGGAGTTCAGTAATACACCCGCACAAACACTCCGAACACAGCAGACAGGGACATGCGGGGCCCAAAGGACATGCGGGGGTTCACATTCAATCACACGACATGCAGGAGGATACATGCGGGACCTTAAATGAAGCAGTGTAAACGCAGGACGCGAGACAGACTGTAAACACGACACACACCGCTTCTTCTTCTGCCTGTGTGCTGACTCTTCTTCTTCTACTTCTTCTTCTTTCTGTTTTATGGCGACTAACTCATTAAAAGCTTTATCGCCACCTACTGTACCGAATCTTACTCCGATGATGGGTCTGAATATTAGAAAGGGCAACAGAAAGAAACGAGGGAGGGAAAGGGACAAAAAAAAAAAAAAAAAAAAAAAAAACTTGGATGTTTCATATTCTCCAATCTTTGCATCTAGACCACATACCCATGTCAGCGCTGCGTGTTCAGCTCCTCTAACATAAAGGGCCTTTATGACAATGATTGAGTATACTCTCATCCATAAATATTAGACTATAATCTATAACCTAAACCTGAATACTCGATATACCTAATAAACGCTCTATATACTTGCCAATCTATTATACCTTTTCCTAGAATAATTTTATATATTGTTTTATCTTCCCCACACTGACTGAATAACATATCGCGATGTTTATTATACTTGCTACATATAAATAGTGCATGATCCACATTTTCAGTTACACCACATACATCACATTTCCCATCCTCATGTAAACCCATCAACGCAAGTGTTGCATTTAACCCCGTGTGTCCCAATCTTAATCTTGATAACCACACCTCTTCCTTGATTTAGTGTTGTCCCTACTGTCTGTATAATACTATTGTGCCATCTTCCAGTATTACTATTGTGGCGCGAAGGGGGGGGTTAAGGCTTTTGTTGGTAGCCAGACCACTACAATAACTGGCACACTGCGGCCAAATTAACACAACCTATTGCAATTAGAGCTCGACTACGCCACCCAGTACATTACCTGGGACACAAAACACAGGTTCGTATCTGACAAAAAGGGAATGAGACGTGGATGTAGAAAAATAGAGTTCCTTTTATTACAATGCACTTCTCATTGGACCACAAATATTAAAATGACAGACACATGTGCTTTAAAAAAGGCACTAGAAGGCTGTTACAAAATACAAAAAACAAATCCTCATCCAACCGCAGGAGCTGGGGCTTACCAAGTCGGGCAGGCTAGGCACTGGGCCCGAGAATGACCCACAAATTCACACGTGCACACTCTTAGATTCCACAAACACCACACAGTGAACTTCAATGCACACAAGTGAGCAAAAGACTAATTCACCAAAAGAGCCACGCCACACAGCAGCCCGACTGCCCGTACTAGACACCCCCAGCTCCTAGGGAGAGAAGAAATCCACAATTAGGAATGAAATAAAACATTTAAGAAAACAATATTAAATGGGCTCACAGGGGTATCAAAAACAGACTACTTGATCAGCTACCAGCCGCCCAGGGGCACGGAGGTGACAGGCCCCCACTAAAAAGAATCCCAAATAGTATGTAGTAAAAGTTAGAGCACGAGGTCACAATATTGGAACAGGACAACGCACCAGAATGCAGGTATAGAAGCAAGCCAAACAGTCAGTTAGACAACACTTGTTTTAGGTGTTCCCATTTTGTAAATGTAGAAAAAAAAACTGATACAAAAAGCACCGAAAATAAATAAACGACAAAACAATTAACAGAAACAAAACTGAATCAAAACTGAATTAACAGAAACAAAACAGCAGCATCCAGCAGGTGTCAAGGGCAGGTGAAGACGCTCAATCCACAGTGCAATCGCTACACGAGGTGCCAGTCATCCCTCCGGTAAAGCCAGGCGTCCGTACTAATAACTAACTAGAAAATATAACAAAAATCAGTTTCTACTCCTAGTAGTTTGATATGCACAGAATGTACGAGCGGTAGCACCCTACTTACCGATTGGGAAGACAGCAGTCACGGGAACGCGCATAAGTGTCAACAGAATCACGAGGGAGAGTTCAGCTCTAGGAAACGCGACTTCTCAAAGCTCCCAACGCCCCACAGTAGCCACTCTATGGTGCAACAGCAGCCGAACAGACACCAGCCTTCCAGAGCAAGAAAAACTGAATCAAACCCAACACAAATTGAAACGAAAGCGAAAATAAGGCTTAAACAGCCACTACATACCAAACGCACGGCAGTGACACGCCCACCACAGGGAGTCAGCTGGACGATGACACAACTTCCACTATTCTCCGAAAGGCTATTATACACCTCTTAACAACCCGCAGTTAGTAATGGGCGTACACCAAGGCTTAATGCAAAACATCTGCTACACTATTATCCCATTTAATTTGCCATTTATTTATTAGTTTTTCCTTTAAAATCGATTTTGCCTCTCTTTTCCCCAGAGGTACATTTACCTCCACCTCTTGCTTATTTAGTGCTTCCTTTGCTAATTTGTCAGCAACTTCATTACCAGATACCCCAATATGTGATGGAACCCAGCAGAAATAAACGACTACTCCTATTTCCTTCAATCGATATAAAGATAATAGATTTCTGTTATTAAATCCTCTCTATGTGATTTTGAGTTTGCTATACTAACTAAGGCTGAAGATGAATCTGAGCAGATTACTACTTTGTTTGGTCTGACTTGTTCAACCCATTGTAATGCTATAATTATAGCTGTTATCTCTGCAGTGTATACTGATAGATTATTGGACAGTTTTAAACTAATATTTACTTTGAACTCTGGAATATTAACACCTATTCCTATCTTTTTACTACTAGGTTCTTTGGACCCATCTGTAAAAATTTGTAAAGTTGAATAATAGTTATTATTTAAAATCGCATTTACTTCTTTTCCACTATATTCATCTTTAGGTTTACTCAGCAAGCTTACATCTATGAGTGGTTCAGGTGCTCTCCATAGTGGGACATCAGTAAGTGGTATTGGGACAGAAGATCATGTTGTCTATACCATATTCTTTAGCCAACTATTTACTCCTCCATCCAAAACTATCCTGTCCTTCATATGAGTATTCCCAGCAATCTTTTAGTATTTTACGAGTAAAATGACTACTAACTGATTGTTGGTGATTTACCCAGTATGTCATCATCAATGTTATCCTTCTAAATTCAAGAGGCATTTCTCCCATTTCTACCCTAATTGCATCTACAGGGGATGTTTTAATTGCTCCACAACATAATCTTAACGCTTTGGTTTGTATGGTATCAAATTTTCCTAATAAAGTCTTGGATGCAGATTCATAGCCAATGCAGCCATAGTCAAAACAGGATCGAATCAATGCTTGATACATGCACAGCAATGCACTACGACTAGCTCCCCAGCTGTGACTAGCAACTGAACGCATACAATTTATAATAATTTTACATTTTGTTTCAATTTTATTTATGTGAATTTTCCATATTAACTTTTCATCTAACCATAAACTAAGGTATTTAAAAACAGGTACTCTTTCCAATATCTGATCATATAACTTTAAATCTGTATGTACTATTTTCTTGTTTTTTGTAAATATCATGTATTTTGTTTTTAATACTGAGAACTTCAAGCCCCATTCCAGAGACCATTCCTCAACTTTTTTAATTGATTCCTGCATTCCTTTATTAACATTTCTAATATTGCGTCCTCTTTTCCATAATGCTCCATCATCCGCATAAAGTGCAAGTCCTATTCCTACCTTGTTAACCTTATCAAAAACATCATTAATCCTTATATTAAATAAAGGGGGCTAATTGCACTGCCTTGTGGTGTACCATTTGTAATATTAAAAGCAGCTGATAATTCTTCTCCAATTTTACCTTGAAAGGCACGTTCAAATAAGAAGTCTAACACCCAGTTATAAAATTTTGCACCTATACCTATTTTGTTCAATTTAATAAGCAATCCTTCCCTCCATAATGTATCATAAGCCTTCCCGATGTCAAAGAAAACTGCTAACATACACTCTTTCATTACAAAAGCTTTCCTAATTTCATTTTCGAATAAAATCAAGGCATCATTTGTGGATCTATTCTTCCTGAACTCACTTTGAAAGGTTGTTAATATTTCCCTTTTCTCTAATATATAATTTAGTCTCTTCACAGTCATTTTTTCCATTACTTTACATATTGTGGATGTGAGGGCTATAGGCCTATAACTGCTAGGCTTTGTTTTGTCTTTCCCAGGCTCGACTAATGGGAGCACGACTGCAGTTTTCCATTGCTTGGGCAAAACACCCTCATTCCATATACGGTTAATAGACCTTTTATGCACTTCCGCATTTTTCGAACGGAAATACGTCAATGTAGTGCATTAGAACTTCCTGTTATCATAGCGGCAGATACGAAAAATGGCAGAGTCGAAGAATCGCAGTTTCTGTTGTGTTCCAGGCTGTTCGTCTTCTAACCAAACACAGCCCTACCTTTCATTTCATTCTTTTCCCGTGGATCCAAACCTGAAACCTAAATGGATACAGGCAATCCGAAGAGAGGAAGGGCATAGTTTTAATGTAAAACAGGTAGCACCTATGTCTGCAGCCGGCACGTCGCTCCGGATGATTACAGTGGTGGCTGCGTCATTCGTCTCCTGAAGAGTGGTGTTGTCCCGAGCCTATTCCCCTGGAACAACTTTACAGCTCCTTTGAGAAGGGAGTCAGTATCTGACAGAACCTACAAACGTCAATCTAAACAGCTATGCTGTGAAGATAGCGACACGGTGGCTAAGGCAGCAAGGATGGATCACGACTACGTGACACACCCACCTGCATAGAGGTAAAGTTGGTATTATATTCACACATTCCTTCATTTACATCTCTATATTGTTTAACCTGTTACTTTGAATATTTGATTGAAATTAGCATGCAAATATGACTTGAAAACAACATAAACACTGGTTATTTGACTGTGAACAATGTTGTACTTTGATAGTCATTGGCTGCTAATATGATTTCGCTATTTAAAGTTTGCAAATAATACTTTGTTAGAAATTATTTTGTTAAAGGGAAAGTCTGAATGTGCAAATATAAAACCAGCTTTACCTCTATCTCACCTGCAGGTAAGATTGTTCATAGTGTATTTAGTTAATGCTAGTCAACTGTGTGTACTGTTATGCATATCTACCTGAACAAATTAGTGTTAATAATATAAGCTGTTCACGAAACTCAACTAAAAAAATAAAATATATTTTTTTTTAACAATGAAACAATTTATTGCTGTGACGTAGTAAATACACGAAGTTTTATCATACTAGCATGTGTGGAAGTATTTAAAACAAGTGTGTTACAACTGGCCCTGTGTTAGGTTGTGCCCCGCTCTCCCCTATTTTAACTGCATGTATTCAATTACTTATTTAATTAACTTCGGAAGACAACTCAGGCTCGCCGAAAACACTCTAGCTGCCTTTTCTCCACCAAAAAACTCATACCGGAACTGGGTTTACACGTTGTTGACGTACTTCCGGTTTTTGCGTAAAAGGTCTATTACCTCTAATAATATCTCTAATGCAGGGGTTTTCAAAGTCTAAGACAGTGGGCCTTCCTTTTGACACAACTTATCCATTGGCGCCCCCCTCCTCCCAAACACGCACAAACACACACACATACATACACACACACATACATATATATATATATATATATATATATATATATATACAGTATATATAAAGACACAGACAGATGTCAGACTGTTAACTCACTTTTATCATCATTTGCATGAAAGTGCAATTATTTACAGAGTAATAAC